CCCGCACCCTCCCCCCCTTTTTTTTTTTTCCCTGTGTGGTGCATGCTCTTGCCAGAGAGACAGAGCAAAACAGAGGGATAGAAAGCGATAAATCACCCCCCAAGGAGTATGGCTATACCACAATCTCTTCTCCTGTACTTTCCTCTTGGGATTTTGAAAATGCATACACACGCACCTGGCATCAGTTTTAAGCTGCTGGGTCTGGGACTCAAACCACAGCCAACTTTTTAAAAGCAACAGTAAGGGGGGCCAGCAGGTAGCATAGTGATTAAGACTCTGTTACTCCCATATGGCTGACCACGGTTTGAGTCCTGAACCCATTGGTTTAAATCTTATGCCAGGTGCATATGTGTGTGTGCCCAAAATTCTAAAAGGAGAGTGGAGAAGGGACTGTGGCATGACCATCCCCCTTATCCCCCTTTGTCTCTCTCTGTGTCTCTGGAAAGTGCACACATCCTATAGCAAAAAAAATCTCTCTAAGAAATGAAATAAATAAAATAAAAAGTGAAAAATAAAATAAAAGTAACAGATTCTGTGACATCTCTTAACTTATAAGCATGATTTCCTCTCAGTGAACCTGAAATTGTATTACAAACCCATATTTTTCAGATGAATTATTTCTCATCTAGTGGCTTTTGTTCAGAAAGGCAAAATGCATAGGAAGTGTGCCTATGTCTGTCATGGTATTAAATAAACTGGCTTTTAATTCAGATAGAAAAAAAGTTTACAAGCTGTGCAGCCCACCAGCTGACTTGCATAAGGTTGGGACTGTTCTCACTCCTGATAATGACATGCATGGCAGGAGGCCAAGTTCCTCTCAAAAACACAAAAACAAATCACAGTAAAACAAGCAAACTTCAGACTGCCTTCATAACTGTGAATTGCCTTTATTGGTTTGATGCACAGCAAAATGCATGGTTTCCAAAAGACCTCGATGTTTGTCTGCATAAAGCCATCTTTGATTTGCTGTGACGGCTATATCTATGCAATCGGAGGAGACAGTGTAGGCAGAGAACTGAATCAGAGGACTGTAGAAAGATACGACTCTGTGAAGGAGGAGTGGCATGGCAGTGGAGTGCAGCAGTTGCGTTTCATGACTGCATTTATGTGATGACACAGAATCTTATGTACTATTATTTTTATTATTTTTTGAGTTTTTTTTTTTTTTTGCTTTAGGGTGTGTGTGCTCACCAGACAGACAGAGAGAGACAGAGAGACAGAAAGTGAGAAATCACCCCCCAGGGGGGATGGCCATACCGCAATCGCAATCCCTTCTCCTCCATTCTCCTCTCGGGATCTTGGGCATGCACACACACACACACACACTCACACACACGCCCGGCGTGAGTTTAAAGCCACCAGGTCCGGGATGCGAACCATGGTCGACTACGTGGGAGTCCAGCAACATAGCCATTACGCTAACTGCTGGTCCCAAGAATTTTTTCTTTAGGGGCCAGCAGGTGGCATGGTGGTTAAGGTGCCGGACTCCCACATGGTCAACTACGATTTGAGTCCTGAACCTGGTAGTTTGCTTTCTCAGTTCCCTTTTTCTCTCTCTGGTCAAATTAAAAATAATAATAAAATAATAATAATAAATAAAATTTAGAAAAGTATTTATTTTAAAAGAATTATTTATTTAATTTTATTTATTACTGCAACTTTTAAAAAATTTGCTGTAATACACATGCACTCACCAGACAGAGAAGAGAGAGAGAGAAAGAGGGAGGGAAAGTGAGAAAACAAGCTGCCAGGTCTAGAACTTAAACCATAGTTGGCAGTGTGGGAGTCTAGTGCCACTAAAACTACCTTGCCACCTGCTGATCCCACTTCTTTAAATCTTAAAATCCGTAGTTTGCTGCTGTAATAAAGTTGGTGCTTATTATCTCTTATTCACTGTCTGATTTTTAAAAAGAATCGAAGTAAAATTAAATCTCCAGGGCCAGTAAGTGATGTCGTGGTTAAGGTGCTGGATACCTGCACGGCCAAATATGGTTTGAGTTCTGGACCTGGCAGCTTGAAAATCATACCAGGTGCATGTGCATGTGTGCCCAAAATCTCAGAAAGAGAATTAAGGGGAAAGGATTGTGTCATGGCCATCCCCCTAGGGGATGATTTCTCACTTTCTCTCTTACTGTGTCTCTCCAGCTATTACATGCACCCTAAAACCAAAAAAAAAAATCTATAGTACATCATTTTTTATATAAGGACCACAAAAATAATATCAAGATCGTAATAAAGAAGATGAGTGATAATTACTGACAACCACTGATGTACTGAAATTTTAAATGGCTATTTTTGATGCATGTAATGAAACTGTTCTGAAGCTACCAGATGGGCAATGTTATTATTATGCTGGTCCTCTACATGACTTTGATGAGAAAGGAAGAGGTTATGCGATTCTGCTTTGCACTGCCTTAGCCCTTATTCTTTGCTGCATGACATATTGGCACTGTTCATGCCAATGTCATATTAACTTCTAAAGAGCTCAGAATTGGTGCAACCGGGATCAGCAGTTAGCAAAATGGCTGTGTCGCTGGACTCCCACATAGCCAACCGTGGTTCAAGTCCCAGACCCGGTAACTTAAACTCACTCCAGGCGTGTGTGCGTGAGTGCCCAAGATCCCGAGAGGAGAATGGAGAGGAAGGGATTGCAGTGTGGCCATCCCCCCTGGTGGGTGATTTCTCCCTTTCTGTCTCTGTCTCTGTCTTTCTGGTGAGCGCACGCGCCTTATAGCAAAAACCTCTTGAAAAAGAAAGAAAAGAAAAAAAAAGAACGGCTGCAACCGTGTTTACCAATCAATTATCCGAGTCATATTATTTACAATAGTCACATGCTCTTTATTTTCTCGGTTATATGGGCACCTCATTAGGACATTTTAAATTCAGAGTCTAACATAGTGTTGAATCCATAGTATTCAGTGTGTAAAGTCTGATGCATTTTTTAAGGTATGGTTTTTTTTTGGATAGATATCATATGTTCCAGACCTCTAGAGCTAGGCATGTGGGTAGATTAATACTTGTTCTTATTGGTCATTGAAGTTCTTTGGTTGTTTGTTTCAAAAATGAAACATAGAATAACATTTTATTTCAATTATTTTCAGGTTCTTGGCCAAGGCATTGGGGTAGTCTCAATATGCAGAGGAGCACAGATTGGTCTTTCTATGGCTATTCATCTAAAGCAAGTCGTAGCCACTGTACTTATTAATGGACCCAACTTCGTTTTTGATACTCCAGTGGTATATCGTGATCAGGTCTATCCACCAAGACCCTATGAAATGGGATTACAATCCATCACTGCCTTGGGGCTAATTGAGTTGTATGGCATTTTTGAGGGAACCAGAGTTGCAACCAGTCTGTATTTTCTTCCTGTTGAAAAGGCCCAGGGACATTTCCTCTTCATTGTGGGAGAAGATGATAAAAGTATCAACAGCAAAGAATATGCTAAGAAAGTCATAGAACAGCTGAGGAGGAATAGAAAGAACAATTGGACTCTGCTATCTTACCCTGGAGCAGGTCACCTAATAGAACCTCCCTATGCCCCACTTTGCTGTGGTTGTTATTTACCTGGTTATCACCGCCCCTTCCACTGGGGAGGAGAAGTGATCCCACATGCAGCAGCACAGGAACATTCTTGGCAGGAGATCCAGAAATTTCTTAGAAAGCACCTCATTCCAGTTGTGACAAGTCAACTCTAAGAAGACTAGATATTCTTGAATCACAACAATTCCCAAAGGAAAAATATCACCAACCATGAACCTCAGAATCTCCTGGCTTATAAAGCAGACATGAAGAGGCCACCAAATGGCATAGTGGTTAAGGTGCTAGACTCCCACGTGGCCAACTGAAGTTTGAGTCTTGGGCCCAGGGCTTGAAAAGGGATTGTGGTCATCACATCTGGGGAGGGCGAAGGGACAAGAGAAAGATTTCTCACTTTTTCTTTCTCTCTCCTTGGAGAGTAAACATGCCCTTTGTTGCAGAGGGTGGGGGTTAAAAAAAGTAAGACATGAAAATAGGTGATGACATTCATTGATTTCCTAAAAATCAATTTAAATATCCTAAGATCTCTCATATTCAAAATATACTCAACTCATGATTATTTCATTGATCTAAAGCTAGGTAAATAATGTATTATTTTGAGACATCACATATAGTTGTAGGATTTTTAAATCAGCTGACAGTCAACAATTCAATGAAAGCTAATGAAATTGGACCAGCCATGATGGCATCACAGTAACTGAATGTTCTGCAGTGCTGGAAGTTCATATGGAAGACCAGGGTTTGTTCGGTTCCCAGGTTGATCTGTACAGAACAAGTGGCTGTGCTTGTGATCATGACTGACTGAAAAGGCTTGGAGAGAAGGGAGGGATCACAGCACGAGACCCCATTGAGGCTGTTTGTCCTCCCTTTTTTCTGTTTATCTCTCATGAAATAAAAAATGTACTTAAAACATTAAATAATACTGTTTTGTGTCTAAACATGCACATTTCAGCATTCTCACCAAAGACAAATGAACAGTCTGAGATTCACGTGAACAGGCATGATGATGTGTGCCCCTAGAGTAGAGGTGACAAGTTTCTCGGATAAGTGGTAGGCAGTAAATATTTTCAGCTTCACAGAGCATAAGGTCTCTGTCATTACTACTTGGTTCTGCCATTAAAATTGTGATGGCACAAAAGCAGTCATAGATTGTATATAATAGGAAGGGACTTAAAAGAGTTTGTAGAAAATTGAATTAGATTTTTTTTTTGCGGAAAAAAACCCACAAAATCCATTTATAGTTTTTCATACACATTTCCATGAAGTATTTTTTTTTTTTTAAGAGATTTTCACTGTAGGGCACGTGCGCTCGCCAGACAGACAGAGAGAGACATAGAGACAGAAAGCAAGAAATCACCCCCCAGGGGGGATGGTCATGCCGCAATCCCTTCTCCTCCATTCTCCTCTCTGGATCTTGGGCACGCACGCACACGCGCCCGGCGTGAGTTTTAAGCCACCGGGTCCGGGACACGAACCGCGGTCGACTATGTGGGAGTCCAGCGACATAGCCATTACGCTAACTGCTGGTTCCCTCCATGAAGTTTTTGAAGACTCCCTCATAAATGATTGTGCCTGTGTTCCAATGAAACTTTATCTGTGGACGCTGAAATTTGCATTTCATATAATATTTACTTGTCATAAACAGTTCTTTTTTCTCTAAACTTTTGCAAATATAAACACCATTATTAATTCACAAGCACTACAAAAATAGGTCATAGGCCATTTTGACTCTCAGGGTACAAGTTAATGATTCAATTAAATGACCTTGCCCAAAGTCAAATTTGAGAAGTCTTCTCTAAAAGGTATATCACAGCCCAAATATTTCTGAGCTACTGAATTGCCATGGATAGATGTGGAAGGTGGTTGGTGAATAATTAAGGTTGTTGTTCGGGTCCTATGTCATAGAGAAGTGATTGATGGGTAGGAATCAGTATCAAAACCATTGAGCATCATAGGAAGTTTAGAGGGAGTAACTCAGGTCTTAGAGTAGGCAGGAACCTGAATCTTAGTATGTCAGGTGCCTGTATCCAAGAGTACTTGGTAGGTTTTTTTTTTCTTTATAATTGCCAGATGGGGCCATTTCAGGGAGCTTGTCGACACTGTCGCAAGGTGGATCCTGAGCTGCCCAAGCCGCCCTGCTCTTCCACGCGGGCCCCTCTAATCCCATTGTTATTTTTTTTTAGATTCTCTCTGGCCTAGCGGCCTTCGGAGCCGGATATTCCGGCTGGGCGGTACAGCAGCTTGGGTCTAGGGGCTTAACAGTAGTTGCCCTGGCAGCGGCGGCCACAGCAGCAGCAGCAGTTCCTTGTCCAATACGAGCACCACAGGCTCCCGAAAGTCAGCACAGGCGTGTAAAGAACATGGCAGACGATACTGATATTGAAGTGATGCTTGAGGCCCCTGACAAGAAGGATGAGAACAAGTTGAGCAGTACTAACGTTAGGCCATGAAGAACGTTGCGAAAAGAGGCCAAAAATAAGAGCAGAAGTCGTGGTCATGAACGGAAGAGAAGCAAAAGTAAGGAACGGAAGCGAAGTAGAGCTAGAGAAAGGAAAATGAGCAAAAGCCCTGAAAGGAAGCGAAGTAGAAGCAAAGAAAGGAGACGCAGTCGCTCAAGAAGTGGAGTTCGCAGATTCAGAGGCCGCCACAGAAGTCCTTACTCCAGACTAAAATTTAACAGTGCCATCCGAGGAAGATTGGGTTGCCTCATAGCATCAAATTAAGCAGATGACATTCTCGAAGCAAAAGTCCATTCAGAAAAGACAAGAACCCTGTGATGGAACCTGTTGATAATCTAACTCCTGAAGAAAGAGATGCAAGAACAGTTTTCTGCATGCAGCCGGCAGCAAGAATTCGACCCAGGGATTTGGAAGAGTTCTTCTCCCCAGTAGGAAAGGTTCGTGAAGTGAGGATGATTTCTGGTAGAAATTCAAGACATTCCAAGGGGATTGCTTATGTGGAGTTGACCTTAGCTCAGTGGCTCTAGCAATTGGATTAACTGGGCCAACGAGTTTTGGGAGTGCCAATCAGTACAGGCATCACAGGTGGAAATAAACAGAGCTGCAGCAATGGCAAACAATTTACAGAAGGAAAGTGCTGGACCTATGAGGCTTTACGTGAGCTCATGGCACTTTAACATAACTGAAGATAATGCTTGGGGGATATTTGAGCCTTTTGGAAGGATTGTAAGTATCCAGCTCATGATGGATAGTGAAACAGGACGATCAGAGGGGTATGGATTTATAATGTTCTTTGACTTTGAATGTGCCAGAAAGGCTTTGGAACAGCTTAATGGATTCGAACTAGCAGGAAGGCCAGTGAAAGTTGGTCATGTTACTGAATGAACTTCCAGTGCTAGCTCATTTTTGGACAGTGATGAATTGGAAATGACTGGAATTGACTTGGGAACAACTGGTCATCTACATTTAATGGCAAGACTTGCAGAAGGTATAGGTTTGCAGATTCCACCAGCGGCACAGCAAGCTCTACAAATGAGTGGTTCTTTGGCATTTGGTGCTGTGGCAGATTTGCAAACAAGACTTTCCCAATAGACTGAAGCTTCAGCTTTAGCTGCAGCTGCTGCCGTTCAAACACTTGCCACACAGTGTTTCCAACTGTCTAATATGTTTAACCCTCAAACAGAAGAAGAAGTAGCATGGGATACAGAGATTAAGGATGATGTGATTGAAGAATGTAATAAACATGGAGGTGTTATTCATATTTATGTTGACAAAAATTCAGTTCAGGACAATGTGTATGTGAAGTGCCCATCAATTGCTGCAGCTATTGCTGCTGTAAATGCACTGCATGGCAGGTGGTTTGCTGGTAAAATGATAACAGCAGCCTATGTACCTCTTCCAACTTAACACAACCTCTTTCCTGATTCTATGACAGCAACACAACTACTGGTCCCAAGTAGACGATGAAGGAAGATACAGTCCCTTCTGTACATAGCTTTTTTTTTCTTTCTCGAGAATTCATCCTGAGTTTTTTTATTTAGATAAAAATAAAGAGCCAAGGGTCTACTGTCATTTGTATTCAGTTCCTGTTATCTTGAAAAAATAAAAATGTTAACAGGAATGCAGTGTGCTCATTCTCCCTAACTAGCAAATCCCACTGTATACAAAGCTCTTGCCTTGCCTTTTAAAATGTTCGTCTAGAAAACTACATTAACAATCTATAGGAATAGCTCTAGGAGAACAAATGTGCTTTCTGTAAAAAAAAAATAAATAAATAAAAAATAAAAAAAAGGCCGACAGGGATACAATGTTTTTAATGTTTCAGAAGCCTAACTTTTTTACACAGCAGTTACATTTCACTAATGTTGCCATGTGGCTAATAAGGGTATAGCAGTGGTTTCTGGAAAACACATTTAGTATATGGAAATTCAGTACAGCTAAAGGGCTGTTTGGTTAGCATCTCATCTTGCATTCTGATCAATTGGCAAGAAAGGGAGATTTCAAATTTAAAGTATTTCTTGATGGTATCTTTTCAATTAATGTATCTTTAAGTTTCTTTTGTAAGTATTATGTGTCCCAGTGTATCTTAAGATTCCAAGCAAAATGATTACTGCATTTCCTGAAGATGTTTAGTGACAGTCTGGTAAGCAAAGCAATCTAAGCAAGAACTAGGAAATGCAGAAATGGGTTTTGTCTGGTTGCATATAATCTTTGCTCTTTTTAAACTCTGTGAGCTCTGAAATATATTTTTGGGTTACTTCAGTGTGTTTGACAAGACAGCTTGATATTTCTATCAAACAAATGACTTTCATATTGCAACAATCTTTGTAAGAACCACTCAAATAAAATTCTCTTTAAAAGGCCATAAGAGACCCCCCAGGGGGGATGGTCACGCCACAGTCCCTTCTCCTCCGTTCTCCTCTCAGGATCTTGGGTACGCACGCACACACACCCAGCATGAGTTTTAAGCCACCAGGTCTGGGACGCAAACTGCAGTCGACTATGAGGGAGTCCTGTGACATAGCCATTACGCTAACTGCTGGTCCCCAAGAAAGCTTGATATTTCTATCAAACAAATGAGTTTCATATTGCAACAATCTTTGTAAGAACCACTCAAATAAAATTCTCTTTAAAAGGAAAAAAAAAAAATTGCCAGATGGTATGTGCACTCGCCGGAGCAGGGATGAGGAAGCACCCTTCCCAATGGGGCATGGTCACA